TTCTGCCTAGTCCACCATCTTGCCGTAACTCCTAAATATCATCTCTTGAAATCCTTTAACAACCATACAAGACAGATACTATTATTAATCCCATTTTATAAATGGGAAAACTGAGGCTTAAAGAAGTTACCTAGGTCAGGGTCATACTTAAAGAAGTAGTAGAGTTTGGACTCCAGGGGCAGGTCTGGCCAACTCCAAAACCCAGTCTTTTAGACATGACGCGGTAGTGACGTCCTTCTGAACTGAGCTTCCATCTGAGCCAGTCTTCAAAAATGACTCTTCGCCTTTCTTGCCTGAAGACCCTTTCACAGTATCTGCATACACGGGGATGGACCCATCGGTTCACACTCGGGCATTATTGAGGAGCCCAGTCATCTGGAAAGCACTGCTCCTTCTGGAGCTGAGGTTGGTGGGTGGGGACGTGGGAAGCAAGCAGCAGTGGCCACAATGAGAGTGCTTCCACTCTGCCCTTCGCTGTAGGCTGGCTCATTGGTCATGCGCGTGAAGTCCTTTCTACTCTCCCCGCTACACAATAACCCAAACCAACCAACCACTCAACTGAAAAGAGTAAGTAAAAACAGAAATAGGCATGCAGGACTTTCCCTGACCTTTAAAGTAATTACAGCCATGACTGTCTTCCAATTTTGAAGTGAAATTAAATGGCACTTGTACATAGAAGAGAGGCCTGTGCTGAGCCAGCCAGACAGTAACAACTCAAGCTGCTTCTTAATGAGAGATGTCAGTATCCATTTGGCCTGAGACAATCTTTAAACCTTAAACCAAATACATCTGCTGAAGTCTTCTTAAAACCAAAAATAGTTTAGCTTAAGTAGTAAAGAAGGTCTGTCTTGAGCATTGTGATCTTTTAAGATCTAGCTACACCCACCAGCCACTCCTCAGAAGAAAGACTGGGCAATCTACTTCCATAGAGATACCGCCTCAGAAAGCCAAGGAGAGGTTGCTATGAATCGAAATCGACTCAATGGCAGTGAGTCTATATGGGATATAAGTGACAACAGCAACTCAAAAGATCAGATAGGCACCTTAGAGGGCAGTGAATTTGTGTTAATGGGAGGAACAGCTCAGAAAAAGGGGGTGAGAATGGTTGCATAACTCAAAAGAATGCAGTCAATGTCACTGAATTGTAAACGTAGAAACCTGAATCGGTGTGTTTTGGTGTGTATTATTTTCAAGAACAACAACAATGAAATAGATAAACAAAGAAAGAAAGATGTGGAAGAAGAAACACAAACAATGAACAATGATTTATCCAGGAAAAGGATTAAAAGAGAGATGGAGGAGATCTATTAATGTCTTCATCATGTAGTTTTGTATTTTTTGCCTTCTTCTATGGCATCTAAGGAGTTCTGGTGGTGCAGTGGGTAAGGCATTTGGATGCTAATGAGAAGGTCAGAGGTTCAGATCCACAAGCTGCTCCACGAAAGATGACGAAATGTACTTCTGAAAAGATTTACAGCCTTGGAAACTCAATGGGGGTCATTAAGAGTTGAAACTGATTCTATGGCAGTGGGTTGGGTTTGGTTTATATGGCATCTATCTTTAATAATGAAAATAGATCACTAATAAGTTATAAAGATTACCAAATAAAATGTTTTTATAATGAAATGATGATCTAATTTCAGGCTAATAGTGTCTAAGAATTAGTGAAATAGGATTTTAACATCTGTATCTTGTCTAATGATAATATATGCTAGAAAGTGTTTTCAAAGCAACTATAAATATATGTACACAGTCACTTGTCTTCATCTGTAAAAAAAGAAATATTGCTATTTGGTCAACAGAAATATTTTACCTGAATAGTTACACTACTTACATTACTCATTCTACAATGGCAATAACATGGATAGAAGATCAGCAATTTTGATGTCGAGCAGTTCTATTATGTTTCTTATTTTAATAATACATATACCCATACGTCCTGAAAAATTTATTGTATTTGTAGTTTAAATAAAACAGAGAGATGCCAATAGTGCCTGCTTGTTGAGTTCCTACACAACACTATGCACTTTACATGTGATGCCACATTTAAGCTTCCCAACTCCGTTCATTCAACCAATACATCTTTGGTGCCCCACTTAGTGCCAAGCACTGTACTAGGAATGAACCAGGCAGGCAAAGTCTTTGTCCTCATGGAGCTTATACACTTACAGGGAAAACAAAGAAGTGCCACACAAACAAATGACAGATGTACAAACAGGGGTGAATGGGACTTCTCTTGTTCAGAGCTGAGGATCCAGAGATTTAGGGGTCCCTAGACTTTAAAGAGAGCCCCAAACAACTGGGAACCAGGCACCTCAATCACCTGGGAAACTTAACAAACACTGATGTCCAGCTCCCATCCCAAAGTAAAGGAGTCAGAATCTCTGAAGGGGAGGAACTGGTAAACTGCAAGAATAGACAAGAGACTGGAAGAGGCTGCAGCCTCCTGAGAGGCGAGGGAGGTGGATCAGGATGGGGAGGTTAGAAGGCCTAACGCAGGGAGAGCCTTTAGCCACCAAGGTAGGTATGATTACTTTTCCATGTTGTTGTTGTTGTTGTCTGTCATCGACTTGGCCCCAATTCACGGTATCCCGTGCACAACAGAATGGAACACTGCCTAGTGCAATGTCATCCCCATAATCAACTGTGGATCGAACCATTGTGGTCCACTGGGCTTATAACGGCTGATACCAGGCTTTTCTTCCTAGTCTGGAAGCTCCACTAAAACCTGTTCAGCATCATGGCAACACGCAAACCTCCACTGACCCACGGGTGTGGTTGCACATGAGGTACATTGGCTGGGAACTGAACCATTCATGGGTTTTCACGATTTTAAAGAAATACGTGCTCATCTAGAAGATTCCAACATGTATGTCCTCCCTTCCAATCCAAAGTTCTAAATGTAACTGCCTGAATCCATTCTCCCAGACCATTTAGGTATCTCTGGGTTTCCATGCATATATTTTTATTTGGATACAAACTTATAGGTCTGCAAAATTATTTTTTTTCCATTTGATAATTTATCATGAACCTCCTTCCATGCTGTTGATTAAATAATGTTAAATCCATACCATGCAGTCATTCAAAATCATGACACCACTCTCTCTCTAGTGGCTTACTGGAATGGCATTCACACTAGCTTAGGAGAAAAGGTGGATTATATAACAGAATGCAAAGATAATCCTACTTTTAATAAAATATAAATATATATTTGTTTGCATCTTTTAGTACTGGAAAAAGTATAGCAGGATCTTGGTATGGATTAAATTATGTCCCCCAGAAAGATATGTTGAAGTTCTAACTCCTGTACTTATGAATGTGATCTTGTTTGAAAAATAGAATTTTTTTTTAAGATGTTATCATTTAAGTTAATGAGGTCATACGGGAATAGAATAGGTCCTGATCCCTTCTGAGTAGTGTCTTACAAAAGGGAAGAAAAGAGACAGAGACCATCACACATGGAGAAGACAGACACCATGTGAAGATGCAGCTAAAAGCCAAGGAATGTCAAGAAACATCAGGGCTACCAGGAGCTGGAAGAGGGTCTTCGTGTAGAACTGATAAAAACTCACTGCCGTTGAGTCAGGTCCGACTCCTAGCGACCCCTCCTTGGGTTTCCGAGGCAGTATCACTACAGAAGTAGATGACCCAACAGAGAGAATATAGTCCTGCCTATGCCCTGACTTTGGACTTTAGTCTCCAGAACTGAGAGACCATCAATTTCTGTTCTTTAAAGTCACCCACTTCATGCTATTTTATTACAGCAGCCCTTAGGAAACTAAGGCAGATATACACCAAAATATTAACAGTGGTAGGATTTCTAGAGGTTTTTTTTTTTTCCGCCCTTTTTGGCTATTTTTCTAATTTTCCTTTTGTGAGTATGTAGTAATTCAAAGTTTAAAAATAAAAAGTGATGAAAGCAAATAGGACAAAATGGTGACATTTGCTTGTGATAGGTAACAGCTATTGATGTTATTCTTTGTATTTTAATATGTGGCTATCCCTTAATTTCTGAAAAAAAAAGAGGGGGGACAAACAAAAGACATGATTTAAGTTCAGACACACAAACAACTTAGAAGAATCAACTACCCATTGTGTTGAACATGTTGTGTGTGTTGAGCTGATTTTGAATCACAGTGACCCTGTGTGACAGACAGGAGCTACCCCATAGGATTTTTGAAACTGTAATCTTTATGGAAACACGTCACCAGGTCTTTTTCATGTGGAGCTACTGGGTGGGTGTGAACTGCCAATCAACTGATTCGCAGCATGCGCTCAAGCACTGTGTCCTCAAGGCTCCTAACATGTTGATAGACGCCATGTTCCCAAAGTGATGGGCTATTCTTGACGTCTTATAGCTTAAAAAAAAGAGCAAGAAAGAGAGAGACCTGCAGACAGAGGGTGATACTGGATTTGTCCCTAAGTGAGGGAAATGGCCATGTGAATTATACCATAGAATCTGTGTCATTCCAGAGCCAAATTCTGATATACAGCTGCTTCCACTATAGATCGGAAGGAAGATCTGGCAATCTACTTCTGTAGATATACCGCCTCAGACACCCAAGGAGGGGTCGCTATGAGTCGGATTCAACTTGACGGCAGTGAATTTGGTTTGGTTTTTGGTTTTCCACTGTAGAAAAAATGGAGTTGCATGAAGTCATGAGGACTTGTAAAACCTCAGAGGGTTTCTTCTTAGAGCCTGGGATAACAATCAGGCTTTTCCTGAATCAATTAAGGACTGTGAATCAAGCAACTGACCTTTTTTTTCTTGTTTGGTCCAGAAATTTTTGACTCGCTGGCGAATGTGCTTGTCCTCACGTAGTTTCTTCTGCCACTGACGCAATTCTTGAATCTCAGGATCGCGGCGAGCCTGGAAAATGCCCCCACAGCTTAGTTCCTTTTCTACATCCTTCCTGCACATCAGCCCGTGAACCGTGTGTGGAACATCCTTTACAGATCAATTTCACTAACTTTTGATTCTACATGAATCAGTGTTCAACATGAGTCACCCACACCTGTAGAGCTCACATA